TCCTCACTCTGAGGACATCGTTTCTCACTCTGAGTAAAGCGTTCCTCACTCTGAGGACAGCGTTCCTCACTCTGATGACAGCGTTCCTCACTCTGAGGACAGCGTTCCTCACTATGAGGACAGTGTTCCTCACTCTGAGGACAGCGTTCCTCACTCTGACGACAGCGTTCCTCACTCTGAGGACAGCGTTCCTCACTCTGAGCACAGCGTTCCTCACTCTGAGGACAGCGTTCCTCACTCTGAGGACAGCGTTCCTCACTCTGAGGACAGCGTTCCTCACTCTGAGGACAGCGTTCCTCACTCTGAGGACGGCGTTCCTCACTCTGAGGACGGCGTGCCTCACTCTGAGGACAGCGTTCCTCACTCTGGGACAGCGGTCCTCACTCTGAGGACAGCGTTCCTCACTCTGAGGACAGCGTTCCTCACTCTGAGTACAGCGTTCCTCACTCTGAGTACAGCGTTCCTCACTCTGAGGACAGCGTTCCTCACTCTGAGGACAGCGTTCCTCACTCTGAGGACAGCGTTCCTCACTCTGAGGACAGCGTTCCTCACTCTGAGGACAGCGTTCCTCACTCTGAGGACAGCGTTCCCCACTCTGAGGACAGCGTTCCTCACTCTGAGGACAGCGTTCCTCACTCTGAGGACAGCGTTGCTCACTCCGAAGACAGCGTTCCTCACTCTGAGGACAGCGTTCCTCACTGTGAGGACAGCGTTCCTCACACTGAGGACAGCGTTCCTCACACTGACGACAGCGTTCCTCACTCTGAAGAAAGCGTTCCTCACTCTGAGGAAAGCGTTCCTCACTCTGAGGACAGCGTTCCTCACTCTGAGGACAGCGTTCCTCACTCTGAGGACAGCGTTCCTCACTCTGAGGACAGCGTTCCTCACTCTGAGGACAGCGTTCCTCACTCTGAGGACAGCGTTCCTCACTCTGAGGACAGCGTTTCTCACACTGAGGACAGCGTTCTCACTCTAAGTAAAGCTTTCCTCACTCCGAGGAGAGCGTTCCTCACTCTGTGGACAGCGTTCCTCACTCTGAGAACAGCGTTCCTCACTCTGAGGACAGCGTTCCTCACTCTGAGGACAGCATTCCTCATTCTGAGGACAGCGTTCCTCATTCTGAGTAAAGCGTTCCTCACTCTGAGTAAAGCGTTCCTCATTCTGAGGGCAGCGTTCCTCACTCTGAGGACAGCGTTCCTCACTCTGAGGACAGCGTTCCTCACTCTGAGGACAGCGTTCCTCACTCTGAGGAAAGCGTTCCTCACTCTGAGGAAAGCGTTCCTCACTCTGAGGAAAGCGTTCCTCACTCTGAGGAAAGCGTTCCTCACTCTGAGGAGAGCGTTCCTCACTCTGAGGAGAGCGTTCCTCACTCTGAGGACAGCGTTCCTCACTCTGAGGACAGCGTTCCTCACTCTGAGGACAGCATTCCTCACTCTGAGGACATCGTTCCTCACTCTGAGGACAGCGTTCCTCACTCTGAGGACAGCGTTCCTCACTCTGAGGACAGCGTTCCTCACTCTGAGGACAGCGTTCCTCACTCTGAGGACAGCGTTGCTCACTCTGAGGACAGCGTTCCTCACTCTGAGGACAGCGTTCCCCACTCTGAGGACAGCGTTCCTCACTCTGAGGACAGCGTTCCTCACTCTGAGGACAGCGTTCCTCACTCTGAGGACAGCGTTCCTCACTCTGAGGACAGCGTTCCTCACTCTGAGGACAGCGTTCCTCACTCTGAGGACAGCGTTCCTCACTGTGAGGACAGCGTTCCTCACTCTGAGGACAGCGTTCCTCACTCTGAGGACAGCGTTCCTCACTCTGAGGACAGCGTTCCTCACTCTGAGGAAAGCGTTCCTCACTCTGAGGACAGCGTTCCTCACTCTGAGGACAGCGTTCCTCACTCTGAGGACAGCGTTCCTCACTCTGAGGACAACGTTCCTAACTCTGAGGACAGCGTTCCTCACTCTGAGGACAGCGTTCCTCACTCTGAGGACAGCGTTCCTCACTCTGAGGACAGCGTTCCTCACTCTGAGGACAGCGTTCCTCACTCTGAGGACATCGTTCCTCACTCTGAGGACAGCGTTCCTCACTCTGAGGACAGCGTTCCTCACTCTGAGGACAGCGTTCCTCACTCTGAGGACAGCGTTCCTCACTCTGAGGACAGCGTTCCTCACTCTGAGGACAGCGTTCCTCACTCTGAGGAAAGCGTTCCTCACTCTGACGACAGCGTTCCTCACTCTGAGGACAGCGTTCCTCACTCTGAGGACAGCGATCCTCACTATGAGGTCAGCGTTCCTCACTCTGTGGACAGCGTTCCTCACTCTGAGTAAAGCGTTCCTCACCCTGAGGAGAGCGATCCTCACTATGAGGTCAGCGTTCCTCACTCTGAGGACAGCGTTCCTCACTCTGAGGACAGCGTTCCTCACTCTGAGGACAGCGTTCCTCACTCTGAGGACAGCGTTCTTCACTCTAAGGACAGCGTTCCTCACTCTGAGTAAAGCGTTCCTCACTCTGAGTAAAGCGTTCCTCACTCTGAGTAAAACGTTACTCACTCGGAGGACAGCGTTCCTCACTCTGAGGACAGCGTTCCTCACTCTGAGGAAAGCGTTCCTCACTCTGAGTAAAACGTTACTCACTCGGAGGACAGCGTTCCTCACTCTGAGGACAGCGTTCCTCACTCTGAGGACAGCGTTCCTCACACTGAGGACAGCGTTCCTCACTCTGAGGACAACGTTCCTCACTTGAGGACAGCGTTCCTCACTCTGAGGACAGCGTTCCTCACTCTGAGGACAGCGTTCCTCACTCTGAGAACAGCGTTCCTCACTCTGAGGACAGCGTTCCTCACTCTGAGGACAGCGTTCCTCACTCTGAGGACAGCGTTTCTCACTCTGAGGACAGCGTTCCTCTCTCTGAGGACAGCGTTCCTCATTCTGAGGACAGCGTTCCTCATTCTGAGGACAGCGTTCCTCACTCTGAGGACAGCGTTCCTCTCTCTGAGGACAGCGTTCCTCATTCTGAGGACAGCGTTCCTCATTCTAATAATAATAATAATAATAATAATAGTCTTTATTAAAATACTCAGATACATCCGTCTGAGTTTACAATCGAAAGGTAATTGATCTAGTTATATTTACAATTGTAAGTTAAGAAGCGTAAAAAGTTTTAAAAAGTTTTTAATAGATAAAAGTCTAAATAGATTAAAGTCTAAACAAAGTTATACAGACAACGATTTATGAACGACCTTTTGAATCTTTCTGTTCTGACTAGGGGGAGTTCATACTCATGCCCTCTAGGCCTAAGTAACCTACTTCTTTTTTCCGGCAGCAGTTCAAGCAATGCATTGTCCTCAGTTGATGTTATTTTGTTCCACAGTTTCTTATCTCTCTTATCACGTATTTCTTTAATGTGTGTTCGTTTTGATATATAACCATTCTTATGTGCACGTTTAATGAATTTATCTATTTGGTTCAAATATTTACCGTCGTATGCACAACCCCACAGCTCAATAGCAAAAGTGAATATCGACATAATTAGGCTATCAATCAGCAGATCTAATTGTTTAATTGATAGTCCATAGTATTTGCAAACTCTCATAATGTACATTCGTCCACTTGCTTTTTTGAGCATTTCTTCAAAGCGCAAATCCCAGTTGCACGGGTTATCTTGTAGAGTAACTCCTAAAAGCTTTAGCCATGTTTTTCGCTTAATTGAAGGGATAAGCTCGGGCAAAACTACAGAGGTGTGTCTGCGAACAACCATTTCGTACGTTTTTTCCAAGTTTAAGGGCATTCTATTCTCTTCCGCCCAATCCTGTAAACAGGCAGCTTCAGATCGAGATGTGTCACCACTTTCGTTGCCAGGCACTCCTAACGTCAAATCGTCAGCAAATTTGACTAACGCATTACTAGGATCAGCAGTTTTAATATCATCAACCATTATTGAGAAAAGAACTGGGCCTAAAACAGTACTTTGAGGGACACCACGATTAATATATAAATATTCTGTAACCATTCCATCAACCATTACTCTTTGTATTCTATTTTCTAGTGGTGTCTTTTACCTTCGGTATAATATATAATTTATAGACCCTTGGGGGATTCGCCGAAACATTACCCTCAGTGATGATATTTCAAATATTAAATAAATATCATCACTTCGGGTAATATTTCGCCGAATCCCTCTCGCTTCGGGTCTATAAATGATAAATAAACTATATGCTAAAGAAAACCTTAACAATTTAAAATAATAGATAATCAGTCTGTAAGCGTCAGTGCATAGTTTTAAATGTTTCTTTATTGGATTGCGAGGCTTCCGAATGTGTGATTAATATATCTCCAATGTTCATCGCGAAGAAGTGACATTATCGACATTATCAGTTACGTGCATGGGATAATAGCGTGAGGTGGTTGGAAATACGGCTGCTTTTTCTGGACGCATGTTGGAACACAATGAAAGTACTAAACATTACGTAGTCCACTGTGAAGTTGTCTTTCACGGAGGCCATGATCTGACCATCATTGACACAATCACTAGGTCTGCAAGAGAACTTCCAATAAAATCGCCAAGTTTTAATTAATTAACGTTACAAATAAACCGCGTTTTCCATGTACGCGTTTTCCATGTACGCGTTTTCCATGTACGCGTTTTCCATGTACGCGTTTTCCATGTACGCGTTGTACGCGTGTACGTGTACGCGTTGTACGCGTGTACGTGCACGCGTTTTCCAGACAACCTACTCGAACCGACCTGACGTACGCGTGTACGTGTACGCGTGTACGTGTACGCGTGTACGTGTACGCGTGTACGTGCACGCGTTTTCCAGACAACCTACTCGAACCGACCTGACCGCGTAGCTCAGTTGGCAGAGCATTGGGCTAGTATTCCAAAGGTCGTAGGTTCGATTCCCACCGTGGCCAGGCATATTTTTCAACCTTGCCCGGTGTGGATATACACTCAGAGTAACATCACAAATATCATATTCACCTGAGTACCGATTACACCAACACAGAAAAAATCTTAAAAGTAATTTGTTTTCTTTTCGTAGCAACACGTCAGGACTGCAAACCATGGAAATCCAAGTTCCTGATACGATCACCAGTTGGATTGCGAATGGTTTTGCTATGTCCTCTGTGTACGGAATGGGAGTCTCAAATCGAGCGACGTTGAAAGCTTTTCAACCATTTTTCGTTCAAATGACCCTGCCATATTCTGTAATCCGAGGAGAAGAAGTACCCATAACAGTCACTGTTTTTAACTATCTGTCTTCCTGTGTTCCGGTAAGAAGGCTAGTAAGAATACAGTTACTTGCCAAAAGTTTGAAAACAAGCCAAAACGTTTATTTAAATGGTTATGGCAATAAAAATTAACTTTGTCTTATTTGAAAGAACCTTTAAAGTTATATATGAAGACCTTTTACAACGTTTTCGTACCTTGCTTGGTTTTCGAAATATTTTGACCAAAAACAGTGCGCATGCAGTCCGCCATCTTGGCATTGTAATTGACCTAATTAACTGACTTTTTGATGACGTCACAAGCAGGGTAAACTTGTTAAAACTTCTTCATGTGGGACTATATTTTTTCGAAAAGTTTGTTAAAATGTTAAATTAATTGAATACTAAAAAGACTTCGAAAACCGGGCAAGACACGGAATAATTGTAAAGGAAGTTTATGCAGTATATTATGTTAAATGTTCTTTCAAATAAGACAAACTTAATTTATATTGCCATATCCTAAAAGCTATTTTAATCAGGGCCTTTCCTGGACGCGATAACATCGGAGATACCAGAAATCGTACAATAATCCTTGAGGTACCAACAAAAAGTCTTAAAGTCCTAAACTCAGCCAATGGAGAATCTATGGATGGTTCGTGCATGCTGTATAACTCTAAACGAGCAAAGAAAGCACAGGGATTTGCAGCTTCATATGTATAGGTTATTTTGAGGCAACGAGGGGATATGTGATTTATTCACCGAGGCGCGCAGCGCCGAGGTGAATAAACACATATCCCCGAGGTGCCTCAAAATAACGTACTTATTTTTCACATTGCGAGGTCGCGTTAAAGAGTCAGAATAGAAATAATTCTTAGTGCCATATTGCCTTCGTTATGTTGTTTTTTTTCTCATTTATTGTGCTGCAAAGACATTGCAGGTGAATATTACAGGGGATTATTAATTGCAGGTGAATATTAGAGGGGATTATTAATTGCAGGTGAATATTAGAGGGGATTATTATATAAACGGAAATTGAGGTGAATATTGAATATATTCCCCGATAAGAACAAAGGAAACCGAGCAGGGTGAAAAATAATGACAGATATCCCCAACATATTTTCCACATAATATCCGATAAATTTTGTGTAGCGAATAAAATAGATCAACTAAAAGTTGTGTCTGGAAGTTGGAGTAGAATATTTTGTGTGATCCGTATATCTTTCCGTATATTAGGTGATCCGTATATCTTTCAGATAAAGCTTGTACTTTCTCGTGAAACTAGAGATTATAAAGTGACGTCATTCTACATAAGTAAGATGTGTGTGTGTGGTGATGATGGCAAGTCAGTGAAGTTTAGAATAATTCCGAATAAGCTTGGTCGAATACCACTAACAGTTAAAGCTACAACATCTGAGGCAAATCTTTGTCCCAAGTCAACCGTATACGCTGCTGATGCCGTTACAAGAAAGTTACTGGTCGAGGTAAGAGTTGGCAAAATCTTCTCACATTATTTTTTCTAGTATATCTTCTTACATATGTCTTCTTGTATGACTGAGCTACCACAACAACATACACATACAAAATGCAGTTCTTAATATAAAAATATCAACAAGACATGTCGAGACTTGCAGTTAACAGTACACACGTAACACACAGAACTAGTAAATCAAGTAACCTTGGTGAACGTTATGGTTCAATGGTCAGAGCCTCTGTCCGGTTATCAGAAAGTTACGCCGAGTGTTTAAATTCCCCGTATCGGGCTCAGAACTTTTGTGAGTATAAGATTGATACGTATCTACACCAAATCATATATTTCAAAAAAAGATAATGTGGAAATGGCGTGTTGTGCCCATGTATGGATATGCTCATATGCCACACAATTTTGGCGCCATTTTCACGTCATCTTTGACGTCTTCGATCTAAATCTGTCTAATTCTCTATATTGCGCCTATAAAAATATCACATCATTGATGTCACATCTTCATATTTGGTCGGCCATTGAATTGACATGACGATTTAACCCTTGGCTCTTAGCCAATCGGAATTACGATTCTTTTAAATAAATAATAAATATTAATCAGCATGTGTTTTATTTTTAGCCCGAAGGAATAAAAAAAGACTACACCAGGGGGACATTCTTTTGCGCTGGGACTGAAGGTAAGTCTTATTCTATTAAATTTGCAGTCGACATTTTCAGTGACATGGTCTCCACTTTCTAGCCTGCAGTGCGCTAAAGAGAGACCGTCCCCCTGGGAAACATGAATCCAGCATTTTTCAATATTCCCTTACTAGGCAAATACAACGAGTCGATTGACTTAACCCTACCGAAAGACATCATTCCTGGATCAGTGTTGCCAAAGGTGTCGGTTATTGGTGAGTTATAGTTAGCGATATTTTTTTTCTTCTTTTTTTTTAATTGATTTCGCCCAGTAGTATTTACAAGAATAGTAATTATGCATTAAAATAAGTAATGTAAGGCCTAAATTTCGATCAATTAACCATGCAGCGCCTATTTTAGTGTGCACACTCTAAAAACACTATCTCTGGTTACAATTTCCTGGTCAGAGGACTAGGGATGAGCCGATTAATTGGTAAATAATCGGCAAAGCCGATTAATCGGCCATTTTTTAAATAATCGGTAATCGGCCGATTATTGCCTGATAATCGGCCATAAGACTTTTTCTGCAGCTGCCGAGCACATGCTAAAATAATGAATACGAGGGAATAGATTTTCACATTTTGTTGCAAAAACCTGCGTCTTTTGTCTCAAAACCGGCACCTTTTGTCTCATGTGAGTGGCTTGAGGAAATCATTAAAACAGTTATGTAAAACCACCAACGCATTCCTATGCATTGAGTCATACCATATTCTGTTTTCTGATTGGCTTAAATATAATCCTGATATTTGTAATAAAATGCAGGGGTGGGATTGCTTGGACGCTGTAAAAAGCGCAGTTTGGACATATTTTGGAAGATAACAACAAAAGAAAGTTTGCAAGGAAAAAAGCTCTCAAATCGTAATCAGCAGACGAAGAAAAACATGCAAACAGTTCACCAATTCAACAATTTCATTGTTGGTAATTTTGCTTTTTAAAATAATCGGCAGGTACCGATTAATCGGCCGATTAGTTACGATAATCGGCCTTTAAATAATCGGCCTCAGTAATCGGCAATTTTCCTTATCGGCTCATCCCTACAGAGGACATTGGCAATAAAAAATTAGTACTGTCATTTGTACTGTCATGCAAGATCGAGAGCCCAAAAATCTCGATTTTTATAGAGAGGCATATTTCGGGAAAGGGTGTTGTAGTTGTAGTTTCATCATCAGTGATACCTCAGCTATATCCGGAGGGATATAAATATACCGGTTTATGGAGAATATGTGATGCCATGCTGGCGCCGACGGTCACAGAATTGACGTCGGGGAGTGTCGCCGACTCGTGAAAAATGGTAATTTATTTAATTTTTTTTTACATATTTGTTTTTTTGTCTAGGTGATGTAATGGGTCCAGCTCTGTCGAATCTTGATGGGTTGCTGGCGATGCCATATGGGTGTGGAGAGCAGAATATGGCAAAGTTTGCGCCGAATATTTATATCATGGACTATCTCATAAACACTGATCAAGCTTCACAGAAAATAAAGGACGATGCCATATATTATATGAATTCCGGTTGGTGTATTTTTCGTAATATGTACCGCACGAGCCGCCGTGTTTTATAAAAGATTGATGAGATATCTTGGACTGTATTCCGTAATATAAGAAATTCAATGTATACTTGCGAATATGTTAATATCCCATTAATATTCTCTACCTCTGTCTAACGCCAGGTGACGTTACACATCAAAGGCAACGTTTTGCGCATTCAGGAGTTTACGCATTTAAGACGGCTTTAAGACTTTTCATTTCAACTTATTCAATCGAACGAAACCGTTTTACGGGTCGATTAGTGATGAAATATCCCTCAAGCCTCGAGAGGTGTAGCAAACGTCCCTCGGTGCAATGTCATGCTATTATTAATTATAAGAATGCGAAAGATAACAAGTGTGAAATAGGACCCACAACTTTTGGCCATCATTGGAGTCAAACTGATTTCAATCAAATGGCTTTTTCCAAATTATATTCATATTATAAACGATTTTTTTGCTTAGGATATCAAAGGCAGTTGAGATACAAGCGAAGACGTGGTTCGTACAGCGCTTTTGGAAACTCGGACAGACAGGGAAGCATGATGTAACTTTATAATTCACCTTTTTCTCAAAATGTGGTATTGGTTTCGGGAAAAATGATTGCGTTGAAAAAACGAGGCTAGCCTGGTTTTTCCCACACATTTTGAGGTGTTCCACATACGTAAAAATCTCGCATCTTGTCAAGAAAATATGTTCGCAACAGGCGTTTGTATAACAAGCTTATCGACGAGTTGGAACAATAGGGCCATTTATACGGAACAAAATAAGACGCGACTTAAATAAGACGCGAGTTTGTCGTATAAAAGGTACAAAATTCTTATGTAAGACGCGTCTTGGATAAGACGCCCGTCTTACATAAGAACAGGCCTTTTAGCTGTTCTTATCTAAGTCGCGTCTTAAATAAGAAATTTTGGACAAAAAGTTTAACTACACATGCCAGAAACTTAAAACAACGTAAAATTATTAGTCTTGCATATTAAAAAAAAAAAACCGAAACAACATTATATCGCTATAGCAAGTAAATAAGAATAAAGCCCTAGAGAACCATTTATGCGATAACTCCGCTTATTTGAGTCGCGTCTTATGTAAGTCGCGTCTTATTTTGTCTCGTATAAATGGCCCTAATGTTGCCATTTTATCAAGATTGTCGCACACAAATTGTTAACAGGTTGTTGAATCGCAGGCCAATAACAAGCTGATGGTGTTTTGATGGAACAACTTGTAACAATTTTGTTGAGTTTTTGTGATTACGCACATAAAAGTCTCACATCTTGTAACAACTCTGCCGTCAACAAGTTGTCTTAATTCGCACTGTTTGTCCCAAGTTATCAACAAGTTTGGAACAAGCTGTTAACAACTTGTAACAACGTTGTTTATATTATCATACTTGTTGCAAAGTTGGTCCAACAAGTTTGATACAGTTATGATATAACAGTATTGCTACAACCTTGTGTCGTCAGCCTTGTAACATTCCTGTAAAATCATGACTGTATCAGACTTGTTATAACAACCTTCCTACAAATCTGATAATGACATCAAGCTTGTTACAAGTCGTTAACAGCTTGTTTCAAACTTGTTACAACAAAATGGGAACAAGCAATGTGAACACAACTTGTTGACAGCTTGTGAACAGATTTGTGACAACTTCTATCTAGACCTACATTATTATAAGAACTTGACAAATCTCGCCCAAACGTCACTATTTCGCGGTTCAAACTAAATGTTGCTACGTTTCAACATGCACGTTTGACCCGCCCATCGTGTACGTTTGAAATGTAAACAAACGTGAAAAAAAGTTTGGATTTTGCGGTTGCTTGCAAATGGTAGTATAACAAACTTGTCATCAAGCCCCAAACAGGCATTGTTGAAACAGCATTGGTACAAGTCTGCTGCAGGTTTGTTAAATTAAGTTGGGCGCTTTTACGTCATCGGACTTGGATATTTAAAGAGAAATTTAACATTTACTTTCAATAGGTTAACAGCGTTTGTGGTTCGTTCGTTTGCAAGAGCGCGGAAGTACATTTTCGTTGACGAGGACGATATTAAAGACTCAGTCAGGTGGTTTGAACGAAAACAAAATTTTAATTCGGGTTGTTTCCAAAATTATGGCGGACTGTTTGATAGATCACTCCAGGTATGATTCAATATTACATAGAGACCGGTCATTATCATGGCCGGGGGGGTTCAACCATTAAAATGTTTTTTTACCCAACCTCAAAATCAATTAAGAAATAAATACTCACTGGCCAAAAACGTTACAAAAGGATACCATTCAGTTATCATACATGTCCTTTACCACTTCTGTGACAAATGATAAATGCTTGTGCAAACTTCTGCAGTTTAAAGTTTCATGTTGTCTGCACAAATGTACTTTCTTTGGGGACACCATTTGCCTCCTGACAAATCGGAAATGATCAAGATAGTGACTCTGACTGATTCACATATTGTATTGACATATGACTGTTGACATTGCTTTTTAGTCTTCCATATAATTGAGTGAGTCATGCTTTGGAAATGACAATAAATTTTTAATACCCAATTCTTGAGTTGTTTTGTTTTTCATTTATCCAACCTTTTACTCAAATTTTGTTTACCCAACTTTTTTCGACTTCTTTCTCTTCGATGCCACCTCGAATATCTAGATATATTTGGTGCTCTTTTACAAAATAACTCACAAACTAGTAATCACACAAGTACCCCGAATCATCCGCTGCACTTCCAGATCCACTAGATCCTCCGCCAATAACAGTTCTAAGTTCGTCGTGCCAAAATGCAAAACAGTAACATACCAAAGATTTCGCATGGTAATTCGGGAAACTCGAATTCGAATATGGAACCATCTCGTTGATAAACTTAATTTGAATACGGATAGTTTTTTCTCGTTTAAGTCGGCAATGTTTAAGTATCATACTTCCTCTTTGTCGTCGTGTTAAGATGTTGAGAATCCTCGTAGTTATAAAACTATGTGTCCTAAGTGTAATTATGTGATTCGTAGTCTCACAACGTCATTATTGTGCTGTTTGTGGGAACTGTTAGTGCTGTTCTTTGTTGTTTCATTTGTGTATTGTTGTAATTTATTTATTTGGGACCGTATATAGTAATTGGCAATTACGATGTTGCGGATTTTCTGCCAGTATGTAATATGCACAAGGCGATTTTATCATACTTTTTAATTTTAGGGTGGTGTGAACAGCGAGCTTACCATAACAGCTTATGTTACTATTGCTCTACTGGAAGCGGGTCTTCAGGTTCAGGTAATGTAAATACATTCATATGGTATAGTCTCACATCTTGTAGCAAGTCTGCCAACAAGCCGCCAACAAGCTGTCTTCGCACTGCTTGTCCCAAGTTGTCAACAAGTTTGGAACAAACTGTTAACAACTTGTAACAACCTTGTTGAGATTGTCAGACTTGTTGCACGGTTGTTCCAACGAGTCCGATACAGTCATGATATAACAATATTGTTACAACCTTGTGTCATCAACCTTGTAACATTCTTGTTATATCATGACTGTCAGGCTGTATCAGACTTGATACAACAACCTTTTAACAAGTCTGATAATGCCATCATGCTTGTTACAAGTTGTTAACAGCTTGTTCCAAACTTGTTCCAACAACTGGGAACAAGCAGTGCGAACACAACTTGTCTACAGCTTGTGAACAGATTTGTAACAACTTGTTTGCAGACTTGTAACAACTTGTGCGTTTTTACGTGTGTATGTATAACTCTATAGCTTGTAGCAAACTTGTCGGCAGGTTGTAACAATGCTGTTATTTTATCAAGTTGCTACAAGGTTGTCACTCACAACTTGTTGGCAAAGTGTTGAATTTTTTATGTAGCAAGCTTTTGAGCTCAACAACCTTGTAGCACAAATTGCCCACAAGCCGTTGACATCTTGTCAACAAGCTAGTAACAAGCAGTGCGAACACATCCTGTTGACAAGTTTTTGGAACAGCATTGCTGCAAGTCTGTTGCAGGGTCTAAACTTTGGGGGGAGGGACCAAAATTTTTATGGAATTTCATATGGCATTTGAAATGCGAGTGCCAAACGCGCGAGGAATCTAGGTGACCCGGAGGCATGCTCCCTCGGGAAAATTTTGGATTTTTAGATGCATTAGAACGCTATTTCACGTATTTTAGGACGAGGTTTGAAGAAAAGTTACTACCACAAAAAGCCTTTTTTTAAGCCGCCTAATGTTGTTAGATCGAAAAACTATTTTTATAAAACATTGTACTGTACACAAAAATACAACAGCAAACTAGCACGATGTCTTCGTTTTTGAAGTGGAAATTATATTGTAATAAAAATAATAAACTTTGAACTTCGACTGCTGCTATGCGCGTAAATTCAAGTTCAAATGTGCTTTCAACCACCGTAGGCATTTTTTGCTGGAGTTAAGATTTTAAAACTAGGGAAGACTACAACTTTTATTGGTAAACAAAAGAGATGGGAATCATTATTCACGCATCGTAAACACCCCCCCCCCCCATTTCTGTCCGGATTTCAGCTTTTCACAAGGGCAGTCCTTTTGCCCATTGGCGGGGGGGGGGGGGGCAGGGCCCTTCTACGCCACTGTTGGAATGCAACTAAGGGGACGTTTCGAGCGGTTCGTCGTTTCGAGCGAATGAGTAGACAACTTGCATGTTAGACTAATTTTTGATTTAGGCAAAGAAAACTAAATTCCCGTAAAGATCTTATTAAAATAAGTAAAATTGCAAAATTTGGTTACGAAACGTTGTAAAATACAGAAAATATAGCCTTGCGAAGTTTGCATATTTTCAGTGTGTTTGTATTACGTGCGGAAATTGTTACCATTTTCGAGCCGAAAATGGTAACAATTTCCGCACGTAATACAAACATACTGAAAATATGCAAACTTTGCAAGGCTATATTTTCTGTATTTTACAACATTTCGCAACCAAATTTTGCGATTCTACTCATTTCATTATGTTCTTTTTAACTGTTGTGTTTGATTCCCTTCTCTTTACTTAGATTAAAATTTAGTCTAACATGCTAGTTGTCCAACAGCCAAGGTTTGGAGTTACTGGCCAAGCTGCACGTTTTTATGTGTGTGTGTCGTGACTTCTGAGTCGCATACAATCGCAGTTAAATCATTCGTCATAACAACAAGGGTGGGTTGACTACAAAATTTCTGTATTCGCTATAACTACAGCTACTTCAAAAATATGTAGTCAGCTACAACTACTGCTACTGTTGAACAAAGGTAGTTCGCTACTGACTACAGCTACTGCTTAAAAAATGTAGCGAACTATTTCACTATTTCACTACAATATATTTTTTAGTTTTACTATATTTGGAGCATCTACTAACTCAAGCTGTAATGTAATCTATGGCCATCTATAACAAATCGACTTACGAGTAGCAACAGTAAACACAAAGCAACATTTTTGTATAGCACAACAGTGTTCAGGAGTGCAAATTGACTATTGAGTATTGATTTTAAGCAAACCGTGTCTCAATATCATGCTATTCTATCAAGTTGCTAACAATTTTAAAAAGTAGCGAATCGCGATTCGCTGTTTGAAAAGTAGTCAACTACTTGGCTACTTTTAGGCAATGATTTAGTTCGCTATAACTACAGCTACTGTTTTAAAAAAGTAGTCAAAAACTACTGGCTACTTGAAAATTGTAGTTCGCTACAGTAGCGAACTACAACTACTTCGCTACTACCCACCCTTTCATAGCAAGTAACTAAAACAAGGAGCTCCTCTACTGCGTTCTCATTTTTCGATAATAGAATTGTCCGTTTAAATCATTTTGTTCTTTTTGTATACTTCAGACCAGGATGGTTTCCAAAGCCCTTGATTGTATTACGGGAAAGCTCGATGGCATTCAAGATTCCTACACTACGTCATTAGTAACATACGCCTTAGTATTGGCCAATCATTCGAAGGCAGAAATGATGATGAAACGTTTGAAGAAACAGGCAATTACCTCGGCAACAAATGGTGAGAGTTTCATGATCTGTTTCCAGCTGTTATATACGTCATATATTCATTGAGGTCAATTTATTTTGTAATACCCAATGAGTGGCAGCACACTCCAATTGACGGGTAAAATCGTCTGGCGTTAGGGCGCAATTCCAGTCCTCGTACGAAGCGCCTCGCAGCTCGCTGCGAGTGCATGCATGAGCATAGAGATTATAAGTAACACTAGAGGAGGCATTGTAATCTTAATTCAGTAAAAAAAAGGGAACGCAGCTATTGGTGGGCAAATTCAAGTCCCGGATGTGTATTCTTGTTCTCATTGGTGACGAGTTTCAAATCAGCCAATGAGAGCACGATTTTATATCCGGGACTTGAATTTGCCCCCCATTAGCTGCGTTCCCAATTTTTAGACTCGATGCCTCCTCTAGTGTTATTTATAATCTCTATGTGCATGAGCACTTTCATCCAATGACAATGCTTAAGACTTAATTTTAATTAGATGCAAGCACTCGCAGCGAGCTGCGAGCAGCTTCGTGCGAGGACTGGAATTGCACCTTTAGACAGAGTAAAATATTAAATTAGGGCGAATACAGTGCAATTTATGAACAATAACAAAGATAGCCAATAAGATACAGCAATTTCTAGCAGAAATAAAAATAATTCAAATATGAAGGAATCAATTTTTTCCTTGTAGTCACATAATTTTCTCATGTATATTATTATTAATAAGTAATAGTATGGTTTCTTGTGCAATTTGAAAAAACATACACTTCGTGAGTTTTTCAAAGACTTCAAGATTACAATTTTGATAGTCTCTGGGGGTTGCTGAGGCTCCTTATCAAAAATGTCATGCTGCTGTGGGAGTTGATCTCCCAATATTTTTGCTGGTCGCATATTCATAAACTGGAACGTTCTTTGCAATTGTATGGTATTGAAATTATGTGGTATGATGTTACAACAATCGTAATAGAGAGGATTCGTGACTATATAGTTACATGCATAACTTCCAATGTTATGAAAGTGAAGAACTAATAGAGTTTGATTTGCTCATTCGCTTTTAGGCGATCAACTTTTCTGGTCAGCAGGCAAAGAGCAACGACGACGCCCTGCTGATGTGGAAATGACTGCTTATGCGTTGATGTCTTATCTCAAACTCGAAGATTCCATTTCTGACGTTACTATGATCGTGAAGTGGTTATCAAAGCAGCGTAATAACTATGGAGGATTTGCTTCAACACAGGTTCGTTAATAAAATGCTTATGAGTTATGACACGCGAAATTTCATCCACTACAAACCCAACCTCGTTCCCAGGGTCTCTCCTTCTGGCCTTTGGGACAAACCGTGGGTTAACGATAACGAATATTTAAATTCCTGCTTATATGTACGTTATTATTGTTGTTGTTGTTGTTGTTGTTGTTGTTGTTGTTG